GATACTCTTCTTCACCTAAACTACAAATTCTTAGTCGTGTATTGTTATTTATGTAGCCACATTATTAAAATAAAAGGGCCTCAGTCTTTTTGAAACTAGGAATAAGCCAAATTATCAAAATAAGCTTGCCTAATACATAGAATTCTTATTGTATGGTTATTTTCATAACTAAATTTAGGCAACACATACAGAAATTTCCTCCTCTTTGGAGATGCCTAAAAGACAGTTTGGAGGTATTTTATTTATATTTATAGCTACCTTTCAAAGTCATTGTTTATTTCACTTGGGGAGAAAGAAGGAAGGGAGTTTAGAAGACTGAGTGTGAGCTTGAGACATGTTTTGGAGAAACAGACCTTGAGTGAGATAACAGCATTTATCTAAATGCCATCGCTAGACAGCCACCTTTTGCAGTTCTAAATAATGAGGTGAAGCTATTACTTGTTTTAGAAGTTTTATTATTCTTAACCAAATTTGGAAATCAGTAATATTTGCTTGTTTTTGATTTCACATTAAAAAGAAAAACATTTCCTTAAACATAAATCTTTTTTTTCCCCTCCTAATTTTAGTTTAAGGCTTCTTCCCAAATAGCTCCTTTAAGGCTATGTAAGGTGCTCACTTTGATTATGAAGTATATGAAACAGTTTTAAGGGCAAAAGAACAAATATGGTTAATAGTTTGATAATTCTTATCTAAATTTTAAAAAACTTTAATTGATTTTACAGGTAACATGTCATAGGAGTCACTTAAAAAATGTAGAAATATATGACAGTTTTCTAACATTAGCAGATTTAAGGAAGATAGTTTATAGAAGCAATGGGAGAAACTTCTGAATGTTTACCACCATTGATATGAAAATAATGGAAATGAGAGCAGTGAGCCAGAATTTATTTCAAAAGGCCAGTTCTGTCAAGATGGAAGTTGATATTAGCCATACATAGTCATGTTGAATCTCCACAGTTGTTTTGCTTGGCAGCCCTTCCAGCTCTAAGTTATGTGTTCATTCCTGGGAAGCAAGTGTGTTGGAAAGTGAGTCTCACCAACCAGTCAAAATTTCTGGTAAATTAAAAGTTACTTCTTGGTGCCACCAGGTAGAGTCTTACTCCCATTACTTTACTTTTTTTCTTTTCTGGTATTTATAAGTAGTCCCAAAAAAAAAGGTAATGATTTCCTCGCTTTGCTTTGAATGAAATGAGATCTAAATGCTCTCCCCCATTCCCACTCCCAGTTATACTAGCAGCTATGGCTACATGTCCTCTCGCTGGGCTTCCAGTTCCTGAATATGAGATCAGAGATCTGTCTGTGGGAAAGTGGTAGAGCTTGGAGGTTTGCTGGAGAGCAGGATACTGTTTTCTGTGGATAGCTTTACGGAAACACAATTAACCAGCATTCAGTATTTTCAAAGCAGCTGGGACTTTTTTTTAAGTAAAGAAAAAAAGGAAATATATTTTGCTTAATTCAAAAAGTGATCTGAAGGAGTCATTTCTTTATAATATTTTTGACATTTCGAGATGTTTACTCTCTTTTGGGTTGCCCATATATTATCACCTGTCCTTAGGTTTTAAAGTGAAAGGTGATGAATGCAAAGCAAGATGATTACCTAAAATCAGATCCAGACCCAAGCAGTGTTCTGCACCTACGTGGACACTCAAATGCTGCTGACTTTATGGCTTTCAACTTCAGTGAATCCCTATCAGTTGATTGAGCACCAGCTACCTAGGCAAAGCCACATGTTGTTAAACTAAGAAGTACCAGACGAACTCCTTGCTCTCTTGAGTTTCTGGTCCAGTTCAGTGCTCCCCAGATAAATGTGATGAAGGACCAGTTTGTTTTTTTCTTGTTTTGTTTTGTTGTTTTTAATTTCCAGTCCATTGCAGACCAATACGTTTGTAAAATACAATAAAAATGAATTACTAGGAAATGAAACTCAAAAGATACATAAAATAAGCCAATTTTTAAATTATTATCAGATTCAACAGTTATAAAAATATTCTGTCAAGTTGCCATAAAATTTTCTAGTCTCACAGACCAGAAACACTTATCTCCTCATTGGCCAGTGACAGTGTTTTCCGACCAGCACTCATCCATGGGTCACACTTTGATTTGCACTGGTCTTTTTGCAAGAGAGGAGGAGTCATAACTACTCTGTCTTACACTTATGCTAAATGTGTGCTGAAGACACGTCATGCTTTTCTGCCCACACACAATTACTCATTCTCTTCGCTTAGCCCAAGATGCTCTTTCTTCCCCATCTCCAGCTATTGAAATCCCATCCAGTCTTCAAGATGTATTTCAAATGCCATCTTTTTTATCGAATCTTTCATGCCCTCCCACTAATACCAACAACGACAGCTGGGTTTGAGCTTTCCCTCCTCTTTTTTGATATTTGTAGCCTGCCTCATACTATAATTATAAGAAGGCAGTATAATGGCATAGTAAAGAGGTTTGGGCTTTGAAATCAAAGAAACCAAGACTCAAGCTCCAGCTAGGTGACCTTGAACAAATTCTTAACCTGTCCATTTCTTCATCTGTAAAATTGGTATGAGTTGGTGCCTATCCCAAAAGGTTGTTCTAAGTTTTAAATAATTCATGAGAAATGTCTTCTGTAATAACTGGCACCTTCACAGTAAACATCCTGTTAATGTAACTGCCATTATTATTTGTTCCTGACTTATCTCCCACCCTTTTCTTTACCCTTAACTCACTAGATTGAGGGTAGGATTGCTACCCCCTGTAGGAACCAGCACAGTGCCTTACTCAATAAATAGAAGTTGAATTTAAGTGCTTGTGCCATTTAAGTGATGCACACAGGCAGTGGAATAGAATACAGAGAGAGAGAGATTATTGATAGTTGGAGAGGTAAGGGACCTTTCATGGAGATGATGGTATTTAAACTGAATTTGGTGTAGGGGTCAGCATTCTGACAATAATTGGTGACAGGCCCTGACATGTGCCCATAGGCAGGGAACACATGGTTGGCTGTGTGCAGACTGCACAGGAGCATTGGGAAGTGGAGCAGGAAAGGCAGCATGAGGTAAGGTTATAAAGGGCCTTAATGGCCTCCTTGAGGTGTCATACCTTATCCTTTGAGTACATAGGAGCTGTAGAGTCCTGATTTTGAGATGGAGGAATCAGAGCCCAGGGACCCAAGGGGGAAACTGAAGACTGATGAAATCCTGTTACCTAAACCAGCGTTTCCTGAACTATTCCTCTGAATATTAATGTTCCTAAGTAGGAGGGAGTTTACTGAAAAACCAAATTTGAGAATTGCCCTCTGTCTAGCTCTCCCTCTGGAGACTGATCATGCATCCTGACTTATTGGCAGTCTTTTACTCAAAAAGTCTAGACTAAAATGTAGATTTTTGTTGAACTAGTGTCTCCCAAACTTAATTGGCCAAGAACTTTTTTTCGTGAAGTTTCTGTAAACATCTCACAAAACACAATTTAAGAATCAGTACCATAAACAGTCCTAAACCAAGGTATTACAATGAAAGAAGTAAAAGTTGGCTGTTTCTCAGTGTTTAGCAGATCCTAGGACACTGGCACCATCTGGTAATCGCCAGACAGGAACCGTGCTTTCTTGTCTGCCTGGTATTTGGTAGGGTTACCCTCCGCAAGGATTGCGCAGGCCCACACCAGTTGCTTAGGTTCAGAATACCAGGTTATTTACTTTCCATCCCATCCGTTTCTTCTGTCCATTGTGAGTGTCTCCACAAATGTCCCCTGTTGCCACACGTACACTAGACACTTGGTGATTCCCAACCTTTGTGAATTGCAACACTGTAATGAATCTATTTTTGTTGTCTTTCTTCCTCCATACTTTCAAAAGATTTGTTATGCAATGTTATGCATGTAAAGGAGAGTGAATGAAAATAAGTTTGTTTAAAATGGCAACCCTTGAGAAATTGAGGGGTACCCTTGATTGTGTCAAAACTGGGGTTGGGATTCATTGGGCTATGTGGTCATAACCATTTTTTCCCTCATTTTAACAGGATTAAAATTATTAGGAGTATGGCTTTAAATTATCTTGCTGGATTATTTATCCCTGAATCCATATGAATCTTGCACACTTTCAGAAATTAATTCAATTTTAAATCTTAATAGTACTTCTTAGTCACTTATACCATTAGTTAATTTCTAAAAAGCAAGATGATCTGATTATGAGCATGGTTAGCACTTAATAGTTGCTTAGCAATTTAAGGTAAATGTTGATTTTTTCAAGGATAATTATGGACTGGATATATGTAGAGTGCTTAGAGCCTGGCACATAGTAAACACTACATATAAAGTGTTTGCTGCTACAGTCATGAGTCACTTAACGACGGGGTATGTTCTGAGAAATGTGTCATTAGGCGATTTTCTTGTTGTACGAACATCATAAAGTGTACTTACATACACCTAGATGTTATAGCCTACTACACACCTAGGCTATCTGGTACTAATCTTGTGGGACCACGGTTGTATATGTAGTCCATTGTTGACTGAAACGTCCTTATGCGGCACATGACTGTATTGTTGCTGCTGCTGTTACTGTTGTTGTTGAAGACTGGGGGTAGGTCCTGCCTGGTTGTCATTTCCCAATCTGCCAAATCGTTCATGCTCCACTTTTCTCAGTTGCTAGACGTGTTTAACTGAAATTGTAGGAGCGTTTCACCTAAACAAAAATGGAAAAGAGTTAGAGTGCATTAAGTTTCCAAGTGGTTGATGTAAATTATTTTGGCCATAATAAATTATTAAAATGTTAAAGTCCAAAATCTTTGCAGATTTAAATAATATCCAGCTGTTGTTATATAATTATTGTACTCAACCTCTAATTTAGGACAGTGCCTTTTAAATATTTTTGTATGATTACTCTTAAAGCCTCCCATATATTTCCATACTATAGAAAGCGTATATTTGTATATGTTACTTTGGTTTTAAGGTGCTTATTGTAATATTTTTTAATGCTTTTTGGAAGCCCAAATCTGTAAATAACTTCTTTTTTTCTGCTTGAACTCCTCCAGCTTGCTGAAACAAATTCAAGTATCAAGTGCTTGGACTCCATGTGCTGTTTCTCAGAAGGAGAAACAGTGTGCGCATCTGTTGGAAGAATGCTGGAACGAGTAATAGGAAGATGTAGTCCGACCCATGTCAGCAGGTGTGAAATTTCTCTAAGTAACCTTTGCTGCAGATGAGTATTTATCAGTGCTTGCTTTTGTGGGTCATAACAAAAAATACCAATTTTTTTGGCAAATGCCGCTTAAATTTATTTGAAAGTGAAATGGATTCATTCCTTCATCTGTTTCCCGAAGAGACATATTATTATTTAGAGGATGTTAAGGAGTAGAAATAACGTTTTTCACACCTTGGTGTTCTTAAGGTGAATGATATCATATTCCCAAAAGCAGAGCAGCGGTGTCCTGGTGTGCGTGAAGGGTTACATATGGGCAGATATAAATGGTGATTTCCATAGTCCACAGCGTGCCATGTGAATAGTGTCATGTGCCTTGGCTTGGAAGAGATTGGAACAAGTATCTTAAGAGCAGGGAAAAGGGTGGAGGAGGCACTACTTTTATCTGTTGATAAAAGAATTTTTAATATGTGGTTAACTTTGTGTTTTAAAAATGATGAGTATGATGTCATTCACGTATCATAAAATTCAGGTAACTGGCAAAGTTGTTAGTTCCCACTTTGCCTTCAGTTATGGCCATGTCTTTATGGTACAGTTGCATTTATAAATAGCATTCTTATGTTAATATAATGCCTATAGTTTCAGTCCCCGTTTATTGATTATAAAGTATGATCAAAAATATTTCCATAATGCTGTGATTCCATTTTGTGGTAATTTTATTCTACATAAAAGAATTACCATGAGCAGTTAACTTTCTTGGGACTTATGTTTTGACTTACACTATTGTATTATAAAATGTATTATAAGAAAGCAGCACTGTCATGTAGCTAGGCCAATGAGTTTCCCAAAGGAAGTTCCAGAAGGACTTAATTTATAATTATATTTTATTTAAGATAGCTTTAGTGTGCAGAACTAAGGTGGAAGTTAGACTAAGAGACTACTATTGAACTTCTACGGAATTTTTAAAATTTCTACTTCAACAGAAAGGTCTCTTTAATGACAATATGCATCTTCACTATTTAAAAAAATAACTAGAATTAATTTTAAATGAGCCAAAAAATATTTTTCTGCTTCATGTATATTCCCATTTTTCTTGATAACAATTATTTAGGTAATATGCCTCCGTTATTCTTCACATAGCCATTTTTATACTGCATTATCCCTTTTCAACCTGCCCCAGGAATAATGAGATTTAGTTTGGCATATTCTCTTGAAGACGGCTGTTATCATCTGTACTTGTTTTCACTTAAAATTGTGGCTTTTGTTTTGTAAGACTTTATTTTTTTATTTTTCTAATATAATGTTTAATAGTAATTAGTGTCTTATTTGACAGACTATAAATACCTTTCCAATTTTGTCTGATATCTCAGGTTGTATTTTTGGTTACTACTGTCTTATGTCCCTTTATTCTTCAAATGAATAACCTAATAAGTCTTTAGAGATCTGTTCATTTTTTCTAGTGGATAAAATCACACAGTATGCAGAGCCACTCGGTGCTTCTCAAAGGGCTAGATGAAAATTGCCATAGATCCATTGACATTATATTTAAACTCTGAAAGTCATTTTGAAATGTAGAGTTTTGTTTTTGTTTTTTACACGTAATTGTCTTAGTGAAATATGTTTGGCATTCCTGTTTTGATTTTGGAACAGCCTCTGTTCTATGTTTTTATTTCATTCTAATTTAAAAGGAAGGCAAGGTTGATGCATCTATTACAAAATGTAGACGTCCTTAGATTCATTAACATATGAAACGTCAGAGGTAATGGGCATCACTTGAGAAATACAGCTAGTGCTTTCATATGACAGATCTCTCTGCTGACTAAACTTTTACTATGCAGGCACAAAAATTCTACTTGCATTTTATTAATTGTTGTCATCAAAGAAATATGCCATTATTGCAAGCTCAGTTTCAAAGGCAGCATCGGGGTGCTGTATAAAGGATATGCCATATTGTACCCTAAAAGGCTGTACTTCACAATAAATGATTTTCTCTATTATTTTACCAACAGTTACTTTATCTTAATTAAAACTATTTTCTAAATAGAAAGGAGATAATAGTTAATATGTTGTTCAGATTTTTAATATTCTGTCAGATATGATATTTAACATACGAACGCACCTATGTGCTTTGAAAAGATCAAAAATGACGGAAAACTTACCTAATAAGATTCTTCTACGTAAGCAATGGTTGGAAAAGAAGAAAAGCTAATATAAAATATAGGCAGTTTGGGAGTGGAAAGGACTCCAGATAATTGGGGTGTTGATAGTTATGTTTTGTCATGTGTCTGAGCATACTTTTTCTTGCATAAGTACTTACTCAAAGAAATGCTCAGTCTCACTGCATTCATTTATTTCACAAATACTGAGTGCCTACTATGTACCAGGCACAGTTCTAGGTGCTAGAGAGACAGTAGTAAACAAGGCCTTCCTTAAACTAAGGTAGATATTATTTAAGGTTTTCTGGAAACTAATAAAAATTAGAGAACCTGTAAACCACTGGTATGATTGTTGCTAGTTTGTCTTCCTCTTTGCCAACTTTGTAGAGTTTCTAGGTTCCAAACTTCATTACAACTGTGCTCACTTAATTGATATAAAATTGATCTACATACAGAATCTCTAGGAAACAGCAGATTATTTGGTAAAAGTGAATTTCGGCCATTTTCAATGATGGTCTCTTGGGGCCAGCCCAGTGGTATAGTGGTTAGTTTGTGCACTCCGCTTCAGCAGCCCAGGGTTCGCAGGTTCAGATCCCAGGCACAGACCTATACACTGCTCATCAAGCCATGCTGTGGCAGTGTCCCATATACAAAATAGAGGAAGACTGCCACAGTGGTTAGGTCAGGGACTATCTTCCTCAAGCAAAAAGAAGATTGGCAACCAATGTTAGCTCAAGGCCAATCTTCCTCACCAAAAAAAACCCAAAAAGCTAGTCTCTTCCTCTAACATTTTTGTTTAAGGAAAGTGGAAACCCTGGAAAAAGTTACATAAAATGTATTTAATGTTAAGTGCTTTTAGTTTTTAAGAAAAGCACCTTAGCCTTGGTAATCCTAATGTTGTCCTTGAAATAGGTTAGGCTATTTTAAGCATGGAGAGCTATTTTTGCTCTTGAGTTATTTTAGCTTAAATTAGCACAGCTGCAAATAAAATATTATGTAATGGATTGCTAATAGGCTGTATTATTCAGACAGTGGTTAATTTTTCCAGACCAGTAGAGGATCACTTGTTTTCGTGAAGTGAAAACCCTAGTGACATACAGGTATCTTTGATACCTATTGAATAAAGCATTTACTACGTGCGAGCAAATTATACTAAAATCTTTAGAATAGGATTTATAGCTAAAAAATAATAATAATATAGTATGAACATACTACTGTTTCATTCCATACTTTTGATAAATGGGATTTTTGTTTGTTGGTTTGCTTCTCTGATATCAAAATACACCCTAGTTGCTTTTCAGTAAAACTGAATATGCATACCTCTTAAAACATACTTATTTCTTACTGAATTGTTAAGATTTTTAAGAGCGTCTTATGCTTTACTGCCTCTAGAAATTGTTTTAATGCAAAGGAATGTCTGAACTTTGGCTAATATTTTTATATAATGATTAGAGCCTTATTTTTCCCAAGTTTTTATACGATATAAATGGAATATCCATTCAATGCTAGTATGAAGAACTTCTCTTTAGCATTTAAAAATGAATCAGTGACTATTTTAATACTCAAATTGCATTTTGGTCTTAAGTTTCAGAGTAAATTACTTTTTCTTAATTAAAACATGGGTCCTGGTGAGCTAAACTTTTCTCTTCCTGTTACTTTAGATTATGGAGTGCATCGGATCCTTTCTGTAGCAACGACAGGAGCATCTTGACTCTCTCCACAATGGAATCATCCACTTGTTAAAGTGGCAGTAGTACTTTGTGGGAGCCATTTCAACTCCTTTCCTCAAATTCAGCATGATCATCCTGGTAATGGCCGTGCTGGCTCCTCAGATTTGCTTTCTGAAATCTCGGGGAGTAGTTCACACCCACTCAGTTATAATGGCAAACAAACAAAAAGCATTAACACGAGCCCCTTCCAGCCCCCTGAATTTAAATCTAAACATGTTAAAATTTTTGAATAAAGAGACATTTTCCATCTCTTTGTCTGGATTGTCCCTTGTGCTTATGGGACTCTTTAATGGCATTTCAGCCTCTTGCTAAGGCCACTATATTTTAATATCAAGATAGACAAGGGAGATAATTCCTAGTTAATTGTATTTTTTAGTATTAGCTTGGTTATTGAGTGTTCTATTTAAATCTGCTTCTGTAAATTATGCTGAAAAGTTTGCCTTGAAAACTCTATTTTTTTATTAGAGTTATATTTGAAGCTTTTCATGAGAAAAGTTAATGTGAATAGTAAGGAATTTTGGTCTCTCAGTGACCTATGTTGTTAATTCATTAATGCTTTCTAAGTTCACAGAGCAAATTAGGAGAATGCGTTTCCAACCGTTTTTTCCTGCACTTTGGTAGTAAATACATAGGAATACCAGACTTCTCTCTGTGTACTGTAGCACAACCAGTAAAGTTAACCATTTACATGCAAGCGGTGTACCATATCTCATATCTGTAAACTGGAATCAAGTCCATTCGCCAAATTTCAATATGATGTTTACTAATATTTTTGTGACAGAATATGAAGAACCGTTAGGGTGTAAATTATATACCATTAGCATATTATTATTTAATGTGTTTATCATTGGATCTTTTGCATGCTTTAATCTGATTAATATATTTCTATTTGCTTTTTTTCTCTCTATCTGAAAGCTCTGTTTATAGTATTTTATGACACTGTTGTCAAGTTCAACTGTATCAATAAAAAAAAATTTGGACAGGATTTAAATATTGCAAATACTTTTAATTATACAAATAAAAATATTAGCGTAATTAAGCCAATAAAAAGAGAAAAGCCTCTTTCTTTGGCTAACTTAGACTTGCTCTTGCCTTTCTTTAAGCTAGATTTTAGAATAAAGGATTTTAGGTGAGAATCCTGTTATTTTTAGGTTAGTATACATTATCCAAATTACAGCATACCACCACAGTAAAGTGAAATTTGCCCAGTGTCCAATTATAAGGTATATTTTCAGGTGTGGCTATAGGATGTAAATGAAACAAAGGCTAAAATGCTAAATTCTGTGAGGTAATGGCAGCAATAAATTAAATGCTAAGAATGATTAATCAGGTACATATTACTGTAATTAACTTACTGCACTTTAGTAGTTAATTTCCATCCTGAATTTATCATGTCGATCCAGTGTTGTCATTTGTTTTGACAAAAAGTAATGTTGTTTACATTTGGAAATTTGGAGATGATTATTGGTCTAAGAACTATTACCCAGCCCTAGGCATATAATGATTGTGTACATATACATTTAAAATTATATGGAATGGTTAACTAAGGTTTTGCAAAAGTTTTGTCTTGAGAATATGCTAATTCCTTTTTATATTTTTATTGCACAAACCTCCACCCCTTTCCCGTTTCATGAATATGAGACTTCTGGAATTGGGCTGATGAGAAAATAATGTAGAGTCAACAGTTAAGATTTTACTTTTGTTCACTGATAAACTTATTTTTTGCAAGATAGCATTTGCCTTTTAATAATGCAAAGCTATGAATTTTAGCCTAAATATTAATTTTCATAAATAGTTCTGCTTTAACTTAGATATTCCAAAATTGGGTTTAGGAAGATACTGTTATTCTGGAATACACTCAAGGGATAATAAAATGTCCAATGTATATACTCACCAATTCATGCTCCAGAAGAGGAAATACTGCAGAAAATATTCAGTAGAGAGTTTAGTGGAGGATAATATGGACTTTGCTTTTTCTTAGAATGTCTTATAAAGTGTTCATATAACAAAATGACGTTCAGTAGACCAACGTTCAGTACATCAACCTTACAGTGTTTATTAGCCATCAGCTAAACCGACTACTGACACTAGAGAAGGACTACAAAGCCATCAAGAGGTCTCTGACCAACTTCAGCAAGACAGGAGGACAGCTGGCCTGTATGGCGCTTAAATGATTGATGTCGTTTTCCGTGTTCACGATTTGAAGCTATTTAAGAACTTTATATAAAAAAAAGTAAATGGCATCCACTGATATGGTCATCCTCCTCTGTTGTTCAAAACCTACTCCATTAAAAGGAAGATGATCTTGTAACGGCAAGAAAAGGATTTTCTCCTATTTAAGAAAGGAACAGTGTTGTCTACAAGCTTTCAATAGTTTTCTAGTGCTAATATTCACGTTGTAAAACGATTACTACATAACCAGTAGTCACAGGAAATTTCCTCTTTGCATATTTCTTTAAAATCCTCTGGAAAGTACGATGTTGATAATTAACTTACTCTTATCTGCCAAAACCAGAGTAAGATGTCACATGTGTTATTGCTAGTTAATTAATGGTCTCAAATCTATTTGCCTCACTTGCTTGCCTTTGCCTACTCTGAAGGCTGCAGCCCTAAAGATAGCAAGCACTAAGTCAGTTTCCAGAATTGCCCATCAGCTGCTTTAGGTGACTTCACAGCCTGCCACAGCTTTAGCAGGCCTTAGGATCACCTAGGAGCAGAGTGCAGGCCAGGAGAACTGCAGCTTCCCACGCTTCCTGTGGAGTTGAGAAGAAAAAGGGAGAGTTTACAGGTTGAATTTCTCTTAACTACCCTTTTCCTTGGGTCTTAATCTCCATGATGTCCAAAGGCTTCCCTCACTGGATCCAAACTCTGGCACTGTCTGAGTAGGAGATTAAAAAGAGGCAAGTCACCTTGTTAAGAAATACCTTCACTCAGGCCAGGGTCATTTCCACTGCCTAAGATTGTGAAATTGGGCTTGCGTGATAAGCTGGAGACTCCTCTCTGATAGATGGGAGTCATGGCTACTAAAAAATTTACAATTAATACCAAAAGTTTTTCACATATGCTTCTCTGAAAAGTTATTGGGGGACGGGGGAAAAGAGAAAATCTTCTGTGTTTGTGTTTTTCCTGTAAAGATAGATTTAGGATATGATATAAGCATGTATTAATAAAACTAACACACCAAAGAGTTATGTAAAACATGTTTTATTAATTTTGGTCCCCCTTTAGAGACATTTTTATTTCTGTCTTGAAATGAGTGATCTATATTCATAAAACCAGAACATTATAAAGTGCTGTTTATGTGAGATAACTTGAGTGATATTCCTTCAAAAAAATAGATCATAACTAATGATATGTTTGTAATGGTGATTGTTAGATTTTATTAGTAGCTGGAAATACTGTAGCAACACTTAGTCTGAAATTTGGACCTCAGACACTGTGGCTGTCTAATACAATCCTTTAAAAATTCTGTGCATCTTCAGTAAGTGCAGTATACTTCTTGTACAGCTCTCAGTAATTTTTTAAAGTTTATGAAATTATATTTATCAAATAAAAATGTTTCTATATAAATAAGTGTTTTTCCATTATTTAGGCATTGTAACCCTCTCTGCTCATCATAACCAGCACTGCCAAATTTGTTTTGAGTTAAATTTTATTATATTTATCCTCCATTTATAGTATAGGAATGCCATTATGCCTTTTGCTGACTGCAATTTTCAAAAATCTAGCAGTTCTTTGTTAAGTCAGGTTATATAGATCATCAGTACAGTTCCTGAAAGGGGTCTGATAGAAATGTACCAACTGTGAAGACCAACACACTTCAACTAAAAATTGCATCATTCATGAAAAGCCAGCCAGTGTGAATTTGGAAATGCCTTGGTCCATAGAAAATATGTGCTTTCTTTAAAATCTACCTGACATAATGTATATATATAAAATATTCTAACCTCCTGTTGATAATCATTATTCCTAATGCTTCCTCACTTGCCAGTTTAAACACACGTAATTGTTTATGTTTATTAAAAAGATATGCTGTTGTCTTTCCCCAAGTATTAGTATTTGCAAAGAATGACAATGTGTGATACATGTAATGTATTTTTATTTCTGGAATTAGAATATGATCCCAGACAAGTCAATTGAGGCATCTGTTTTTGAGAAGGAGTTGAGGATTTGCACTATCTTTGGGATAACCCCTCAGTCGTTAACTTTGGTTATACTACATGATGAATCATGTTCTCAGTAAGAAATTTAGGACAAAAACATAAAATTTTATGAACAGCATTTCACCAGAAAATTTAGTGAATTCTTTAAAAACTATTCCAGTTTTATTATGAAGAGCTAACTGACTGACGAAGCTACTATAAATGGAGAAGAGTCCACATGTCCTTGAATGGTGCTTTTTGGGAGTGGCAGAGGGCCCTCTGATACATCCGATTTTTAATACTAATTGTTTAAGGTAAAATGGTATATATATTCAAGTAAAATTTATAGACATTGAAGTGCATAGATTTTAGGATTACTTTTGACAAATCTATATGTCTGTGTAATCGGTACCCCAGACCAGATGAACCTTTCCATCGTCCCAGAAAGTTTCTTTGTGCTGCTTTCCAGTGAACTTACGCCGCCCTTCCATTTTTCTGTTTTCTGTTGTCATAGGTTAATTTTACTTCTTATTGAATTTCATGTAAATGGAATTATACAGTGTGTTCTCTTTTGCATCAGGCTTCCTCCTCAAAATGTCTGAGAGAGTCATGCATGTTGTTGCATATATCTATAGTTTGTTTCTTTTTGTTACTCAGTAGTGTTCCATTTCATGAACATCCCACAATTTATCCTTTCTCTTGTTTATGGATATTTAGGTTATTTACAGTTCAGGGTGATTATAAATTGTTATTATGAACATTCTTTGTAGACATGTTTTCATTTCTCTTATGAAGTAACTAGTAGAATTGCTGGGTCATAAGTTAGGTTTATTTTTAATTGTATAAGAAACTGCCAAAAGTTTTCCAAAGTGATTGTGCCGTTTTATGTGCATTTGTGTGCAATTATGAGAGAGTACTATTATATCTCATTATGATTTTTAATTTGCATGATGACTAATGATGTTTAACTCCTTTTCATATGCTTATTGGCAAATTTATCTCTTTGTCCTGAAATGTCCGTTGAAGTCCCTGGCCGTTTTTTCATTAGACTGCTTGTCTCATTATAGATTGCTTAGAATCCTTTATATAAAGATCTAAGTCCTTTATCAGATGTGTGTATTGTTGGCATTTTCTCCTAGGCTGTGGTTTGCCTGTATATTTTCTTAATGGTGACTTTTACGAGCAAAAGTGCATTTATTTTGATGAAGTCCAATTTTATTTTCCTTTATGGTGATGTGCTTTTTGTGTTTTGTGTAAAATATCCTTGTCAGCCCCAAGGTCATGAAGATATTTCCCTATGTTTTTCTAAAAGCATTATAGTCTCAACTTTTCTGTTTTAAGTCTATGATCCATCTCAAATTTATTTGTATGTATGGCATGAGGCAAGGATTCAGGATATTCCTAATCCTTCTATAAGGGTATGTTTTGTTTAGCTCCATTTGTTGAAAATATTCTCTATTTCCATTGAATTTGGTGCCTCTGTTTGAAATTTATTGACTGTATAAATGTGGGTCTATTTCTGGACCCTCTGTTCTGTTCTATTCATTTATCTTTACACCAGCAGCTCACTGTCTTGATTACTATAGCTCTATACTTAGCTTTGAAATCAGGTAATGTAAGTCCTCCAACTCTGTTGTCAAGATCGTTCTGGCTGTCCTAGTTCCTTTGCATTTCCGTATAAATTTCAGAATCAGCTGATCAGTTTCTAAAAAGAAAAGATCCTGATATGATTTTGATTTGGATTGCTCTGAATCTGTAGATCAATTTGGAAATAACTGACATCTTAACAATTTTGAGTCTTCTAATCCATGAACATGATATATCCCTCCGTTTATTTTAGGTCTTCTTTAATTTCTCTCAGGAATGTTTTATAGTCTTCAGTGTAGACATCTTGTAAACCTTTGTTAAACTCCTAAAATTTTTATGGTTTTTGATGCTATGGTAAGTGGAATTTTTTTAAATTTATTTTTTAATTACTCGTTACTAGAATACAGAAATGCAATTAATTTTTGTAGTTTTGACTTTGTAACCCTTCAACCTTGCTAAATTCATTCAATTCTAGTATTCTTTTTTACTTTTGTGTAGAATCTTCTCGCTTTTCCCATACACAGTCATGTCATCCGAGAATAAAAGGTTTCAATTTTTTTTCCAATCTTATCTCTTTTTGTCTTTATTGCACTGGCTAGAACGTCCTTTACAATGTTAAAAAGGCATGGTGAGAACCATGAATAGATGTTGAATTTTGAAAATGCTTTTTCTCTGTTTATCAAGATGATCATATTGTTTTTTATGTTTTAGTTTGGTAATGTGGTGAATTATCTTGTTGATTTTCAAATGTTAAACCAACTTTACATCCCTGAAATAAATCTCACTTGATTATGATATGTTACCCTTTTACATATTGCTGTTTGATTTGCTCATATTGTGTTTGGGACTTTTGTATCTGTGCTTATGAAGGATTTAGATCTGTAATTTCATTTTCTTATAATGTCCTTGTCAGGTTTTAGTATTAGGGTTATGCTGGCCTCACAAAACAATTTGGAAAGTGTTCCCTCCTCCCCTCTTTTTTGGAAGAGTTTGTGTAAGGTTGGTATTTTTATTTTAGTATTTTGAGGAATTTTGAAGTCATCTGGGCCTAGAGGTTTTTGGGGGTTTGAGGGGGTTTTTTTGGCGAGAAAGATTGACCCTGAGCTAACATCTGTTGCCAATCTTCCTCTTTTGCTTAAGGAAGATTGTCACTGAGCTAACATCTATGCCAGTATTCCTCTGTTCTTTGTATGTGGGTTGCCACCACAGCATGGCTTGATGAGCAGTGTGTAGGTCCACACCTGGGATCCAAACCTGCAAACCTTGGGCTGCTAAAGCAGAGCACGTGAACTTAACCACTACACCACCACAGGGCTGGCCCCAGGCCTAGAGTCTTTTATTTGTGGGAATATTTTGGATCACAAATTCAATTTCTGAAACAGATGCAGGATTATACACATTTCCTATTTTTCTGTCAAATATGGTAAGTTTTGTCTTTTAAGGAATTTGTCTATTTCACATCATTTCCAATTTTTTGACACAAAATTGCTCAATCTTCTCTTCTTATTCTTATAATGACTATGGGATCTGTAGTAGTGTTCCTGCTTTCCTTTTTTATATTGGCAGCTTTTTGTTGACTTTTTATCATGTGATTGTTCTATTTTAATTTTTTTAGGAACCTCCATACTGTTTTCCATATTGACTGCATCAGTTTACATTCTCACCAACAGTGCACAAGGGTTCCCTTTTCTCTACATCCTCACCAACACTTGTTATTTCTTGTCTTTTTGATAATAGTTACTTATGGCCATTTTGCAAATTGTTTTCCAGCTGTTTTGTAGTTCCTCTGTTCCTTTCATCTTCTTTTGTTCTCTTGTCATTAGATGATTTTTTTTCTGGTATGCTTACATTCCTTTCCCCTATCTTTTGTGTATCTACCATAGGTTTTGCTTTGTGGTTACCATGAGACTTGCATCTACCAATGTGTATCAGTCTCTTTTAAATTGATAACTTAAGTTTGAACGCATTCTAAAGCTCTACATTTTTACCACCCTCATTTTGGTTTTGATGTCTCATTTTACATCTTTTTATTTTGTGTATCCCTTAACTAATTATTGCAGTTATAGTTATTTTTCCTACTTTGTGTTTTAACCTTCCTACTAGCTTTATAACTGATTAAGCTTTATAGTGATTAAGCTTTAAGGAAATTAAGTGTTTTAACTTTGTTTCCAGTCCTACACTTAAGGAGCTTGGAAGTTGCCACTCTGTCCTATCAACAAGTAGAAAGCTGAACAGATTAAAAAATAAACAACTCTTTCTGGATCCATAAGAGAAGGGAGGATGAGGCAAAGTGCTTTCCCCGATACTGGAGAAACAGATAAGCAAATATAGGGATTCATGGCTTACCAGAGCAGAAACTAATGTGAGAACCAGTGCTGGGAAGAAAAAGAGAAAACTACAGATCAATGTCTCCCATGAACATAGAATCAAAAATCGTCAGTAAAATTTTAGCAAATCAGGAGAGAGGACATCAGCATCATGGCTTGAGTCACCACTTTTTTCTCTCCCCTTTGATTTGCAACTAGTTGGACATCCATATCCAAAAAAAGGTGCCTCTGCACAGCACACCAGGATACCCAAGAGATCCATCCACTTGTGCACTGAAAGTGGGTGGGTGGAACCTCAGAGGAAGCTGAGGACCCAAGGGAGTGGCAGTGGAGGCAGCAGTGGCAAGGGCAGCAGCAAGCCAGCATAACCTTTCTGGCTTTGGAGGTGGAAGATGAAGGCGGTGATTGGTTTACTCAGCCATGTGTTCTGCAGCTGGAGGGACCCACTGCTCCCTCTGAGGAGAGAGCACAGTGACTGGAAGGAGGGGAAGGGAAGCAGAGAGAGAACTGAAAG